CCTCGCCTGCCCCCACGCCCCCGCCTCGCCCGCGGCTGGAGGGGCAGCGTCCCAGGTGCCTCTGGAAGCTGCACCTTGCCCTTCTTCAAAACAACTTTTCTTCTTATGCACAGGAAAACAACCAAATAAAGGCCCCGACAACCCCTGAAACCTCCACCTTCACCCAGCGAAGAATTTCAACAGAGGCCAGAGATCGCTGCAGGGCGGCAGAGGGAGCCAGCAACTTCGGAGCTGGGCACCTCGCGAGGAGCGCCCGAGGCTCGGGACAGGCTGCCTTAAATAGGGGTGTGAGGGACCAGAATGTGTACTTCAAAATACTTCTTTGGCCCTTTTGAGCTGCTTATTCTGAGAAACTGCAGACGCAGGAGTAGCTCTGAAAAGCTGTCCTTTTGTAAATGATTTATATGTATGTCCTAACGTACAGATAGCTATAAAGTATCTTCATCAGACGGAGGGCTGCTCGGAGATTAACTTTTATCACCCAAGACAGGCTTTATCTGCATAACAAGACAACCTTCTTTGAATTTTCTTTTTTAAAAAAGAGGGGGGAATCTCCTAATGTTGCCCAGGCTGGCCTTAAACTCCTGGGCTCAAAAAAAGCTTCCTTGAGGGTGGTGCCTGTGGCTCCAGGAGTAGGACGCTGGCCCCATATACTAGGGGTGGTGGGTTCAAACCTGGCCCCAGCCAAAACTGAAAAAAAAATTTTTTTTCCTTGAGTAGTTGCAATTACAGGTGGGTACTGTCACCAGTGACAAGACCACCTTTATTAACCACACATTTCCTCCCTCAACGGGCCCCATAACTTCACCTCCCTAGGGCCCCATGCCCCTTTTCCTTTCTGTAGGAATATTTCCTATTCTACATAACCTTTAATCATCTGACCCTTCTCCTATTTGCTGGGATTTCCTTTCTGTGCATATGTACATAGTTAAACATGATTTTTTTTTTCTTGTTCATCTGTCTTATGTCAATTTAGTTTGTGGCCCAGCCAGAGAATGCACCGGGGTGGATGGAAGCCATGTCTCCCTCCCCTACAATGGGCATGAGGGGGGTGAAGAGAATCACAGGTCCCTTTCGTGGGGGGGATGGGGGGTGGGGTGGGGGGGTGGGGTTGGGCTTGTCCCCCAGAGGTTACCCAGACACCCTCCCAATGGAGCAGGTGAGGCTCACAGCCTCACTCCCACCTCAGGCTCCCATCACCGGGCCTTGGGAGAGGTCTCTGGCCTGCTCTAAGAAGATCCTGCCAAAAGCCAGAAGGCGTATGGACTGATAGGCCAGGTAAGCAGCCTGTCCTCAGGTTTCCTAACCCCGCTCCCTAGCCCTGCTTTTGCTAGGCTGCAATTTTAAACACTGTCTCCTGGTTTTCGGAGTTTGTGGCAAGAAACAGAAACAGTCGGATGAGGAATACTCTTACATCTTACAAAAGAACTCGTCGTTGAATATTTATTTAATGGCAGCTATTCGATCTTGCTTTTTCCTGCACAAGATGCTGGGGAGCAGCCAAGCATGCCAACAGCTGAGATGTGCCTCACATATAGTTCTCTTTGATCCCCAGAAAGGAAACTAGAATATGTCACCCTGAAATATGCCTCTTTGAAATAAATATTTTTGAACTAAAGGCAACTAAGAAGGAGCAAACAGAGGAAGAGGTCATTCTATCCTCGTCCCTTTCCTGCCTGTTAAATAAAATTTGTAAAAGGCCCCTGATGCGGACCAGGCTCCTGTGTTATGCTTAACAGACCACACGAATATGGAGTCACATGCGCTAAAGGAAACCAATTAACTTAGGTGTATACTCATGTTTAGGGATGAGTTTGGGTCCGGTTACAGCAGCTGAGTTTTAGTCCCTCTTAGGCCCACAACTGATTCCATAAGGCAAACGCTGTAACCGGTTAAACTCTATACTTCACTTCCATCTTCCGCCCATAAATAATCCCCTGACCATGTCGCTTGCTGAAGTTCTTTGAATCTGTTCAGGTTCGAGGACGGCCCTGTTCTAAAATCATGAATAAAATCCAACTAAGATCTTTAAATTTGTTGTGATTTTGACTTTTGACACCCCTTGGTGCAGGATATAAAGACGGACAACTCTTGTCAGCTCAGAAATAGCAACCTAGGAATCTTCAAACAATTCTCACTCCATCAGTTTAATCTCCTACATTTACTTTCCCTACAGTTTCTCACCTCCAGAAATTGTTCTCCTTTTCTGGAAGATTCATCGCTCATTGTTGAAGATGCCACATAAACCAGATTTCAAAGCCACCACTTTGGCTTCCATTTCATCGAGGTTTCTCCAGCATGAAGTGTACTGTACCTGTTAATAAACTCGCTTGTTTTTCTTGTGAATCTGTCTTTTTTTATTTTTGGAGACAGAGCCTCAAACTGTCCCCCTGGGTAGCATGCTGTGGCATCACAGCTCACAGCAACCTCCAACTCCTGGGCTCAAGCGAGTCTCCTGCCTCAGCCTCCCAAGTAGCTGGGACCACAGGCACCCGCCACAAGGCCAGGCTATTTTTTGGTTGCAGCCGTCATTGTTGTTTGGCGGGCCCGGGCTGGATTCTAACTCTCCACCTTAGGTGTATGTGGGTTCAATATTAGCCACTTGAGCCACAGATGCCGAGCCGAATCTGTCTTTTCTTACAGGGATCCATCCCAACTGTAAACTTACTAGGGGTTGAGGAGAAGTTATATTTTCTCCCCGCCACCCACAACAACCCAGCAAGGTCAATCTTATCACCCCCAATTTACTGATGAGAAAATTGAGGCTCGGGAAGGCCGAATCATTTTTCAGGGCCACACAGTCAATAATTGTCTAACATCTTCCAGATCTTGGCTCCTTTTGGCCAAGCTATGCTGCATCTCCCCGGGCCTCAGTCTCCTAAGAAGTTTCACTTTCCTGAAAACCTGATGCACTTCCTTTTTGAGACCATAACCGTAGGGACTTATCATGTCCCTCTCTCTTGCGTAGGGTGCCAGGAAGCTCAAGCTAAATTTAACATTTAAGTGTGGTCAAGTTCCTGATACAATTGCCGTCTGCCTTCCTCTACGGGGTTTCTGATCTCTCTCACTTTATTTTTAACTGTTGTCATGTGTGTTTGAGAGGAAGCTACCTCAAGTTCCCTTTGAATTGTAAATAAAATGAACAAGTTACAGTAGAGAAATTATACCGATCCTGGGAGAAAAGCGGCCCCTTAGCCAACTCTGTTACTCCCATGAGCTCAGGACCCTCAAATCCTTTCCCTGGAAGTTAGACCTGATTGGGAAATCCTTTGGCCCCATTTCATGAAGAGAAAGGAGGTCTTAGTCATTAGGGGCAGGCCAGTGGAGCACAGACTTGGACAGAGAGAGACAGGGCACCAGCCGGCCTCTCAGCAGAGCTTGCACGGGCCCCCAGGCCTATTTCCTTCTTTCCTGTAACTCTCTCCTGCAGAACTTCCCCTCCAAAAGCAACCCAACCTCCACAGCTTCTCACACATGCAGCAAACATCTTTGCTCTGTTCGGCTTTGAGTGGCTTCACCACTGACACCCGTACACCCACACGTGCCCACAAGAAGGGTTATCTCAGGGCAGTCACACTGAGCACTGAGGCATGGGGGTGCAAATGTGAGAAGCCCACTTCCTCAGCCCCTCCACAAGATGTCTGCGTCCCTCTGTACACTGTCCAGGCAGGAAGGCCATTCATTTGGACCAGGCAAAGCAGAAACCACCCAGCTCACGTCCTTTACCCTTTGGCTTTGGCCAAGAACATTGTGGTGAAGCTTGCCAGTTAAGAGCACTTTCCCTGGAGCCAAAAGCCTGGCACTGCCACTGTGGAGCTGTGTGACCTCAGGCAATTGAGTTAACCTCTCTGTGCCTCCACTGTCTCATCTGTAGTATGGAGATGCTAATAATGGTGGTCAACATTTAAAATTGTTGTTGGGATGAAATGAATTAGTATATGTCAAATGCTTATAAGAGTGCCTGATACAGAGTAAACCCTCAGAAAGTGGGAGTTTTTGAGTTGTCATTTTGGTTATTATTCTAGGACCGTGTTTTTGGGCTTTGTGGAACTGGAGGTTTCTGCTCTAGAACAGTATTTTTCTTTTTGTTGTTTAGAGACAGAGTCTCACTTTATCGCCCTCAGTAGAGCACCATGGCATCACAGCTCACAGCAACCTCCAAATCCTGGGCTTAGGTGATTCTCTTGCCTCAGCTTCCCGAGTAGCTGGGACTACAGGCACCTGCCAGAATGTGCAGCTATTTTTTGTTACAGTTTGGCCGGGGTCAGGTTTGAACTTGCCACCCTTGGTATATAGGGCCGGCGCCCTACTCACTGAGGCACAGGCGCCACCCATAGAATAGTATTTTTCAGTAGTAGCAACAGCAGGTTGTGACACATCAGTTCACTGGAGATCCATTCAACTTACAAAAAGAAGAACAGGAAATACAATAACAGATTGTATTCCATGCCGTAAGGGTGGGCGTGTTTCCTGAGACTCTAGTTCCATTCATGGGTGTGCATGTGCGTGTATTGTCAAGATGTCAGATGCGTTTCCTTTTGGGGGGGGACAGAGTCTCACTATGTCACCCTTGGTAGACTGCCACGGCGTCACAGCTCACAGCAACCTCAAACTCTTGGGCTTAAGTGATTCTCTTGTCCCAGCCTCCCAAGTAGCTGGAACTATAGGCGCCCACTACAATGCCCAGATATCTTTTTATTTTTTGTTGTAGTTGTCATCGTTGTTTAGCAAGCCCGGGCTGGGTTTGAACCCGCCAGCCTCGGTGCGTGTGGCCGGCACCGTAACCACTGTGCTAGGGCTGCCAAACCGAGATGCGTTTCTTATTGTCTGTCCTAGTCGACACAAACCAGAGAGCCTGGATCACATGATGGTGATGGCAAAGAAAGGGCAGAGCAGGTAGTTGAAGAACAAGGCCAAGGTCAGATTCCATTTCCGAAAGTCTGACTCGTGAGCATTCAGGCTCAGAGGAGTGCTGGGGGGTGGCTGTGTGGGAAAGCCTGAGGAAAAGGAGTCCCCATTCCCAGACTGTGACCTGTGGCTAGAGAGTGACTCAGAGATGGATTTATGGGGGTGGGAGGTGGGGGGAAAGTCCCCTACACTTGATTCCAGGCCAGAGCTACACTGAAGGGTTTGAAAAGACCCAGGCAACTCAGAGGTGGCCCAGGAGGCCCAGGCCCCAAGGATGAACTGATGGAGATGGTGCTCCTGGGCCCAGCTGGATAGGGGGCTCCATGGAAATTGAGTGGTTCTTTTTGTAAGACATACACACTCAAAGCCCAAGCTACCCCACCACCTGCCAGGTTTAAAATCGTGGGAAGTCACTTCTGCCGCAGTCTCCCTATCTGGCACAGGTGGACAATAACTCACCCCTTGACCCGGGGCTGAGGAGAGATTCAGTGAATCCATAGTTTTGCCCCTGATGCAAAGTTCAAGAAAGAGCAGTTGACTTTTTTGGGGGGGGTGGGGGGGGTGGGTGATAGACAGAGTCTCACTGTGGCACCCTGAGGAAAGTGCCATGGCATCATAGCTCACAGCAACCTTAAACTCTTGGGCTCAAGCTATCAACTTGCCTCTGTTTTTCTATTTTTAGTAGAGATGGGGTCTCACTCTTGCTCAGGTTGATGTTGAACTCCTGAGCTCAAGCAGTCCACCCGCCTCAGCCTCCTAGAATGCTGGGATTATAGGCATGAGCTATTGTGCCTAGCCAAGTAGCCAACTTTTTAAAAAAATCCTATAATGTGGAAGGGTGCAGTGGCTCACATCTGTAATCCTAGGACTCTGGGAAGCCAAGGCAGGTGGATTGCTTGAGCACAGGAGTTTGAGACTAACCTGAGCAAGAGCAAGACCCTGTCTCTACTAAAGTAGAAAAATTTACTAGGCATTGTGGTGGGTGCCTGTAGTCCCAGCTACTTGGGAGGCAGAGGCATGAGGATTGCTTAAGCCCAGGAGTTTGCGGTTGCTGTGAGCTAGGCTGTTGCCAGGGCCCTCTAGCCTGGGTGACAGAGCAAGATTATCTCAGAAAAAAGGAAAAATGCCTATAATGCTCTTCCTAGTCTAGGGTGTAGGCAAGTTTGTGGAGGGTGTTGGGGAAGTGGAGGAGCACCAGAGTTTGGGGTCAGGAGGCTGGATTCAACCCCACGCCTGCTGTACACCAGGGGCGACCCAGGTTCGGCAACACTGACTCATTCAGCAGGTACACAGCGTATGCTACTGTGCACCGCTGTACCGGGTATAGTGGGCTCTGGGCACGGAGCACTGTGGCCTAGGCCTGCCTCCCCCGCCCCGCACTGTGAGTCTACACTCCATTGGAAAGAGAAACTGAAGAAATTAATAAGATACAGTGTCATGAAGTAGACAGGGCTGCAAGGAAATCTGAGACAGGTTAGGAGGGGAGGGACTTGGAAGGGGGAACTACAGAGTGGGGAAGGCCTCTTGGAGGTCACGGGCCTCTGAGCAGAGGGATAAGAGGAGGAAGGAGGGGTGATGTGGGGGTCTAAAGGCAGAGTAACCCAGGTGGGGGGAGGAGCCCAGAGCAGCAAGGAGGCAGGGGTGGGGTGGAAACAGCAAGCAGGATGATGGAGGCAGGCAGCTGAGGATTTGGGATGAGGCCCAGAGTGCTGAGCAGCAGAGCAAAGGTTCTGGATCTCCATAGGGAGTGGTGGACTGTGATTTACATGCGCAAAGTCTACAGCAGACAGACACTTCCTTGCTTGGTCAGAAAAAGGGCCTAGAAGCAAGAAGGACAGGCCTGGCCTCTGGATCTTGCTTTCTGATCCCAACCTCCTTAATAAAAGGAACTCTGGCTCCTTGGAGAAGTGGCTGATCCCTAGATTAGGACAAGAAGTGGACAAGAGGAGCCTGGAGCCTCTTACAGTGCCAGAAAGCAGAGGCGCGCTCCGAGACAGAAACCAAAACACTGTCAGGACGGGATTTGTCCACAATCCCAGAGATGAACTGGAAAAGCTTCCAGTGGCCGAAGCTGGAACTATCTGGGCATCAAAACAAATGAAGTAACATTGGATGATAACCCAAAGTATAAAATTAATACCCACGCATCTGCACGGATATAGCGAAGTGATTGCCTACACCAATAGATGAGGAAGGACAGACAGGTCTCCTCTGCAGAAGGATTCCACATAATGTATACTTTGCCTTCAAGGAGGTGGAGCCTACATCTAGTGACTTCCTTCCAAACAGTACAGCGTGGAACAGGGCAGGAGAGCAAAAAGTAGCTTTATGTCTGTGGAAACAACCGGAAAACGCTACGTTCACCAGGTGCCTGAGATG